TCTGTTTAGAGGTACCTAGGTTAGATATTGGTATTTATTTATTTAATGTTACGGTTTATTTATGTGTTTTATTGAAAGCCTTACTTTCAAGTGATTCTCATTTTATGAGAATGTATGTAAATAGTCAGAGAGGTATTTTGGCCGCCTTAAAGTTAACAGGGGCTTTTATATATAGTAGTGGAAGAAGACAGTAATGGGTCATGGTCTTATGATCTACTTTACGAACAGACCAGAATGATCATTGCACAAATAACGTCAAGGTGGAGAGCTCCTTCAGGTCAATTATCCGCACAGATGGCACATAACAGCTTCCAAAGGTTTCGAGATTATAGCTTGGTCTTTCACCCCATTCTAATTACCCCAAATCATTTGGGTAATCCATTTGAAAACCAAATTGATTTTGATTTCACCCCGTTAGTCTTACACTTTTCTGTTTGATTCTTCTGTTAATTCCTTCTAGCAGAAGATGGAAGATGATATGCCTGGCTGCCTTCTTCCATTAAAACTGCTGGGTGGCACAAGGCAGTTGCATCTTCACCTGTTTCTTTTCTTTTCTTTCTTTTTTTTTTAAGAAAAGGGTGATTTCTTAAATACACCTCGAACAACTTCACTTATTAATTTCCTATATCCAAACCTCATTCAGAAGTGCAGTGTTTTTCTTTGTCATTGTGTATGTTAATCAGAATATGTACATTGGCAACTATGTCTCACATATTGCAGCTTTGTGTCTCTTGCTTTTCCTTCTGCTCATTGTTTCTTCTTCCTGGATTTCCTGTGAAGTCAGCTCTCTCCACAGAAGTGTGATAAAATAACACTTCTTATTTCCCCAGAGGTTTTGACATGCATTTCACGGAAAGCTTCATTTTAGTCTCATGGAACCAGGGATAAACTAATTTGTAGGAGCTTAAAAAGAACAATGTGTATGGAAATACCAGGTAATCGATGGTTATTTGCGACTATTGCTCAAAGTGCGATAACAAGAAGAGCTGAATGAACCATAACATCTACAATATAAGATGAGATTCATTATGTGAAAGATTGTAAAGCTGACTTATGAACAATTCAGATAAAAATACAGGGTGCTGTAGTTCAGGACTTGGGCATCTGAGACTGTGCTGCACAAGCGTTCATTGAAGTCAGCTGGGACTGGAGATCTCGCCAGCAGCTTCAACAGGCACGGAGTCAGGCCTCTAGTGAAAACACAGCACAGGTAGCTGGTGGTGATAAACCTTCCTTCTGTACAGCAACCGTTTCATGAACCTTTAATGCTCAGGACTTGGCGCGCCGAGCTCGTGCCCTCCGGTATGCACTTCAGCAGTCTGCGCTGAAAGAGATTTTGTGGACATCCATTTAGTAAAATCTGATAACAAATGGATAAACTGACAGATGAGCTGAGCGTGCTTCATTCAGGGCAATTTAGTTAATTTTTGTCATCGTATTTTTAGTATAGTGGACCTACCTTTTTCTTCGAGTGGTGTCTGTCCAGTGCCCTTTTTATGTTGTACTACTAGTGATCACGCACAAAAAGCAGTGCAATGTTAAAAGGGCATTGGCCAGCAATACTATCTACGTTACTTGTTGTTATTATTATTATAGTCGCAAGTCAAAAGTCACTCTTGTATGTCTGAGACCAGAAGGTGATTTGAAAACCAACTGTAAAATGGGATTGCCGCTAATTTTTTTTTTTTGCACTCGTCTCCTAGTTGTTTGCCAAGGAGAAATGTTAGCTGGTCTTTTAGTGACAAATACCATCAACTCCATGTGTATTTCCTTAGAAGTAAGTGCCCCACAAAGAGCAAAGAACACCGTATAGCATTCTTATTTCCTACAGCGTGTTCTAGAGAAACGTTACAGGTGTGGAGCTGACGGAGGCTGTCGCTCTGTGTGCAGCAGCAGTCATCCCTCTCTCTCCGCTCCATCCCTCTGTTTCTTTGCATTTTGTTGTTCCTAAGAGTTCTCAAACTTCTTATATGAAGTTACTGGGTTTGTTAAAAAGAAACACATTTAGTGAGATTTATGAAATACACCCCCACTTTGATGGTGCTCTCGCATCCATGTGGTAACCCCAGGGGTAATGTACATCCACAATGTTGGGAAATGAGTGTGTGTTTAAGGGCATTTGGAAGTGATTCAGTACCTGCAAATAAGAAAAATAAACTCTAGTGTCGAGAAAATGTTCCCTGTAATGCAGTTTAAGAACATCTGTCCGATAGCAGTTTAGAATCTTTGCTTGCTATGAGGCAAATCGAAGAAATAAATACATTTGGAAATGTAGTTTCCAGTTAAAAGAGCACCAAATTGTTTGAAATTGAATTTCTGACAGATCTGTTGAGCATTTTCTTGGGTGTTTTTCTCCTTTTTTTTTTTTTCCCCCCTCTTGGTCAGAGGAATGACAGGGATTATGAATAATAATAAAAATGTCTTGAAATATGCGAGTTCTTGCGTGTCTGTATTCGGACTTGGTGACCATTAACCTTATCCAATTCTCCATGATCCACAGAAACCACTATCTGACTCGACCTGTTTTTTCCGATCCATATTTTGAATGTATTGATTACTTGTACGGAATTCTTGCTGCTAACGAATGCTCTGACTTTATTGCACTACTGTACTTTACAGCTAGCAGTGCAATAGTATTGTCAAAGCATCTGAAAGCAGAGCGCACAGCAATGGCTTGAGTCTGGCCTCACAGTTTCTAACACTTTCTTCTAAGCCTGTGAGTAAATGACAAGTTTACGTTTCACAAACTGCATTTTCCGAGTGACTGTCGTGTAATACTCATCCTACGAATGGTCCTAACCTATAATGTTGAGGGGAGACTTTTGCAGGTGTGTGTTTCTTGCAATGCAGCAAGAAATAAGTATTTATAAAACAAAGGAAAAATGGATCAGAATGGAGGAATAGATGGCAGTACTTATAAACATGCTTTGAAATTGCTGATAATAAATTTTGTTTCTTTTAGAGTTAGCATCCTTTCAGGGGAAAGCAGTGATACTGAACCGTGTTAGTATTTTCATCAAGCACAAATCTTAAAATTATAGCGACGTGATGGATTCAGCTTCACATTCAATTTTTAATGTCTTGAATCATAGCAGTAGCGTGGTATTAGTGGCTTACTGTCATTTGGTAAATCTCAAATTATTGATATTGAATATTTCAGGAACAGAGCTTCATGGATATTTTTGAAAGCCACCCACATTCGTTGTCTACTTTCCCCAAAATTAATAATCAAATGGAGGAGTTGGGGAAAAGCAAAAAAGGATCTTTTTGGGGTGCCTGCCTCTAGAAATAAAAACCTAAAAATGTTCGCTAGTGGAGGGAGAAGAGAAACGATTGAGCAGTTAGGACGAATCCCTCATGAACTCTTTAAAAATACATAGTGTAATAAAAAGTATTTTATTCTCGCATTTTATCATCCCTGGTTTCTGGGATAGATGTAGGAAGGCGTTTTGTTGGGCAGATGGTAAGTTATGGAGGTAACGGGTGAAAGCCTTCCCTTTGATTTATAGATGCTCGAGGTCTTCACTAGATTTATTTTCCTTTTCTTAAGCCATTACTTGAAAACTTGCTGAAGGTGTGTGTATATATATGAAGGATCATATGTTTTCACGACATCCGAAAGGGGATTTTACTTGTAGAATATCTTGGATCGAACGCTATTCCTTTAGGCTATGTGAAGTTCCAGCTCCTCGGAGGTACTAATGGCAGTTCCTGAAGGTGGATCCCAAGGCTGATGTTTAAAACCTAAACACCCTTCCTAAACATCCAGGCCTGACTACAGGCTACCTCCGAGGACTGCTGAAGTTGTGTCACCTTAGCTGCCATTACAGCGCTGCCAGTTAGTACTCCGGGATACAGTTAACAAATACAGCCTGGTTTTGAGCCTCTAAAGTTGTAAAGGTGACTTCAGGGTTAATCTCAATATAAATAGTGAAAGCCCAGTTAAGTAAGTTACAAGCGTTTTGAAGTCGCTTTCATCATTGTCTCTTCTGTGACTGTAAAATCACCAAATTATTGCATTAAAAAATTCATGAGTTGTTTGTGAACTGGGAAAACTGCCTTGCTTTAAAGCAGAAGTCCTTAATAGATATTAAAATTGCAGACTAAATTAAGGAATAATGCTATCAGCAGACTGTTTTACGAGGCAGTTAGATAATTCTCTGGTGGCTTATTTATCCCAAGGAAAGAAATGTGATGTCATCAATTTTATTATCTATTTGTCAGTCTGGTTTATTGGGGAATAATAAAATGTATTATGGGTATTATAACCATCTGAGAGAATGCATTCCTAATATAATTAATAATACAATCTCTGTTGATATGCTTGGATCCTGAACACTTACTCATAGTTTCTGCTGCGTAAATAACTCAGTATTGCAGTTTGGCTAACGGAACTTTTAATGTTTGAAAAGAAAAGCAACTAGCCAAGAAAAAGCTTTAAAAATTGATGGAAAACATGTTAATATCTCAGGAGAAAAAAAAAAAAATCAAACATCTCCTGCATCAAGTGAAGATCAGTTTAAAAAAGATGCAAGTTCTTTTCTATTGATGTAACTTACCTCTTTGGTGTGCTACTTAAAAACTTCATCTTGAGAGGTTTGGCATTGCAAGGGAGACAGAAGGTAACAGGAAGAGATGGAAATGCTTTAATGCATTTTGGGGAGCTGCACGGAAAGGGTCCTAATGGCAAGATGCACAGGCAACGGTTGGGTAATTTGGGTTAGACAAATGGAAAGAGGGCAAAATTAACAGAAGTGTGTGTGTACACACACGTAATTCTTACATGTCAGACGAAAATGGTTAAGTCTGAAAGTTTATTGCTTTACATTTTTTGGGCTAGAAGTGTGTCAGCATAATAGGCAAGCATTAGCTAATGGAATAGATTGGAGGACTAGAAACTTAATTTTATAGTACACGAGCCTTTAAAGCAGAGGCATCTGGCTTCTGCTTTCCTGAAATACAGGGAAGGTGAGTGGTTGGGTTTTGTCTGCAATTTTTCCTTTTTAATACACTGTGGCTGATCTTAAATATTTTAGTTCCAGAAGGCAGAATCTGATCTGGATTATATTCAACACAGACTGGAGTTTGAAATAATGAAAAGTCTTCCTGATAATCCAGCAGCAGAGGTAGTATTTTCAGATGAAATTAATAGATTTTATTGCATTTTGCATAAAGCTGGCAATAAATGGATAATTTTCTTTAATCCTAAAATACATGTGGCTGTTCTTTTATCTAGTTGTTATTTGGTTTTATTCTTATTCTTATAAAAATATTTCTTGCATCATATATCAAGATAACTGGCCTAATATGAATTCAGTGCAGAAGCCAGCAAAACTTCCTTGATTTCTTGGCATAGTGAAATTCTCCCATGTTTTGCTTTGAGAAATGAGCGGTAGTGTTAACACCTAAATTTAAGAGACAGATTCCAATCTGAGCTAAAACACACCTTTGCTCTGAGATCAAAGATAAACTTGCTAATAAGCAATGACTAAATTCAGATTTGGGGGAGAGATGAGAGGAAAACAAAAAATGGCAGCCTGTAAAGGGTTTTATAAATAAGTCCTTGTCTCCATGTATATTGTGACATATAGTGGAAAAATAATCTTTTTAGTTGGAAGTCCCTAATTTATTCCAATGCAGAAAAGCCATTAAAATTCACCAACACAAGAAATTAATCCTCCTGTATTTGTTGTGGAACCACGGAGTTGTGCTGTTTTATTAACACTATCTCTCATTTTTGCTTATGAAAAATTAAATGTGTAGATGAAACATGCTCACAGCTACACTTTTCATTGTAAAGGGTCATTTCACATTCTATTTTAGTGGCTCTAACGCCGACGCTTTTAATTGGTATGTGGCCACGTTAATTTTCTCTTCCTAAATAGTTTAAATGTGCTTTTAATTTCTACATAGGAAAATCCAATCGCTCTCTTGCAAGAACTCTCAGTGGTGAAATCTCGTTATAAAACGTTATGTATGCAGCTGGAAAAAGTTTCCATAGAGCAGAGAGAATCCATGAAGGGCATCCGTGCTGCTCTAGAGAACACAATGAAGATGGTTCAGGCATTACAGCAACATGCTGATCTTGAGGTAGTGTTCTCATTTTAATCACTCGGGTCTCACCCCTGTAAATGAACATGTACTTGCGTAACCTTTACGTAGACGTGAGTAGTTCCACTGGAAACTTGTCATACGTGCAGACTCTTCGAAGACTCTTAGAAGATAAGATGACGGTTTACCAGAAGAAATGCTTGAAAGATTGCAGCTCTTGTAAATCACAAGCCTGATTCATCACTCAACAGTTAAGCTAGTGGTATTCAGTTTTAGAGTTGAAGTAATACCATAATAGCGTGAACAGTGTGACACATATTTGAATAGTTTCATAGAAATTGATGCCCCTGTGCACAGCTGTGTCCCAGTTCTATACTGACTTTTTTAAAAGTAGCTACCGTAAAGAACTTAGAAAGTGAAACCAATTTTGAAAGGCAAAAAAGCTTTTAAAAGGCAAAAAAGCTTTTAAATGGCAAATGTATTTTCACTGTCTAAATTGAGTAAGTTAAAACCAACGCGTTGTTACAGATGTGGTGGAATTGCTGTTAGTGCAAAGAAATAAGGTTTTTCTCAGTATCCATCTATTTATTAAAAAACCCCAACAATAAACAACCCATTTTCACAAGTGTCATCAGACACTGCTTCATTACAATTTTGAAGAGGTTACGAAAGCATTAATTTTGTCCCTTTACAAATAAGGTGATTTAGATCAAAAAAGCTAATTGATAGTCTAGTGGCAAAGACAGAACTGGTGTGACTAAAACGCATTCCCAGATCGGAGCTCTCACTTTAATGTTCCAATGACAGTGCCCCGCGATCGCGTTTAATCTGTCAACAGCTCTAGACATGTTATTTGTAAGTCTTTATAGATAAAATGTACTGTATAATAATTTAAAATCCAGTAGTTATATGTCACAGAAAGGAAAAAATATTTTTCTCTCCCTGTGTTCCAAGGATATGCTGCCAAGAATAATTTCATATTGGGATTTTGTTAAAGTGGAAGACTCCCGTCTCTTGAGTTACGTTTAGACTTTTTCGATAAAGATTTTCTTGTCCTTTGTATATTTCCTAAACCAAAGATTGAGTAAACCGTTATGGAGAAATGTAAGCCGTTAAGTGAAATACTTCTTTTTATTGAATAATTTATCTTCTTTCTGTTGAATCATTTATAGTATTGATGTTAAAGGAATATTATGGTTGGATTTTTCAGAAATATTCAACTTGTAAATTTGCTTTCATTTGAAGGAAAGCAGGAGTCTACTATTATAAGTTTCCATGAGAAAAGGGCTACACAAACACCGAGTTCTTCTGTAAATACCATCACCCTAGGAACTGAAAGTATCAGAGTTCTCTGTTCGTATTTTTTCTAGCGCTTACCTCTGTCAGAAGAAGAGCAGACTGCAGCACAGCAGTTAACCTGCCAAACTGTTAAGGAAACGGAATCGCTAGTGGAAGAGGTAATTAGGCCACAGAGTGTCAGTATTCCAGAAACCATTAATCCTCAGTAGCTCAGCTGAAGTCAGAAGGGCTGGTTTTGTGACTTAGTACCTCTCAAATGAATAGAATTTTTCAGAAATGGGACTGAAGTTTCTAACAAACCTTTTCATTTTGATTGTCTACTGATTAAGTTTATGATTTGTTCCAATTAAATTGTCCACAAAGGAAAAAATTTGCTTTGACGGAAGACTCTGTTCCCCTTATTTTTTAATTGGGATGTGTTTCTGTTTCTTTTCAGAGATGCAGTTGATTGCTCGTCGATCCTATTGTTCTGTTAATGCATTATATAAGAAGCCTTTGGGTGGGAGTGAAGAATGTAATTGATTCAAACCAATGTATATCAAAATTGAGAGAAATGTAATTTCCTGTGAAATTGTAAATTTTGGAATATGAGTAACAATAAGTAGATTCCAACTGTAATGCAGCAGAACAGATGTAAACTAATACTTGTTAAGAAGTCAGATATTCTCCCATAGCTACTCAAAGCACAGACTTCTAATTGTCTGCAAAGATTTAGTCTGGGTCTCATATTAAAAGCAAAATATTAAAGAAGGATATTAGAGTGTAATTATCTTATTGACCTTATCCTTTTCCACGTCTTCCCACTGCCTGCTACTCTGCTGTCAAAGGATGTCTCGCTCTCTGTCCCTTTATTGCCACGGTTGGTTTGCATGAAAGCCGTCCAGTATCTTGCAGCTTCATTCACTCTTCGTTTGCCAATATCTTCCCCTACCTCAATAAATGCTCTCAATTTCTGTCCTTCCATTAATTAATTCTAAAGCACTTCAGATTCAGCTGGCATAAACCAGGCCCAGTGCAAACTGTAGCTATATCCTACCTCTACTGAGGCCAGTTCAATTGGTGTCAGACCCTGGGTTGTCATCGAGCGTGTTTTGAAGATGTTCTCTGAAAGTCAAAAAGAATGCAAAGATGTCACAAAGGCCTTGGGATTTTTTCGTCAGTGCTGTATTTCTGGCTGAGGGGAGTTAGATATAGCTACCTTCAGCTTGTCAGAACTGTCGGCCTCTGAAGGTTGCTTGAGAATAGGAAAGCCATCTTTACCCTTTGCTGCATGTGCAGTGCTTTCAGCTAGATCCATGCCGGAATGCAGAGGAGAAAGCTTGAAGAGGCTTATCCGACTTGTATATAAATCTTTCTGTATCCATTTTAAACTTATTTTTATTTGAAGCCAGGGTTTGTTTAATGCCTAAAATTTTTCTGTTGACTTCAGTGGCTGCAAGATCCTTGCTTATCCAATGGTAAAATGTAATTACTCATGCAGAAACTAAATTGTAAAAAATAATTTCTAAACAAAATTCTGACAAATCCTGACATTATCTTGTGTTTATTTTTAGCCATTTTGTTCAGGATCTACAGTCCCTGACTCAACTGAAGGTAAGTGCTGAAAGAATAATCTTCCTGCTGTTTTCTTTCTTTTTTTTCCCCCCCTTGACTGGTCTCGCCCCGCCCCAGCCCCAGTAAGTACGCTTTGTGAACAGTGCCTGTCTCTCAAGACTTCCATCTCCAATACTGAACTCTCATAGTTCTGTACTCTTTAAACATACCAAGTCACCATCTAGAATTCAAGGAGTAATGAATTAAACTGGTTTACTTTCTGAAAAAGGCAGATACTGTAAATAACTTCAGTTGACAAATAAGGGCTGTTTTACCGCTAGCACAACAGGGGCAAATCTCACAGTAAGTAGGAACAGGCTGAGACCTAGGTATGGTTTCTGAGCTCTTTTATTTAAAAAACAGCCTAAGGTGCACAGTAAATTCACTGTTTTCACTCTCAAGCACTAGTAACTACTGCTTTTATGTGAAGAATTCAGACTTTAATATAAGCAATATTAGTTATATTCCATGTATAGTTCCCATATCTCTGGGAGTTCTTGTTTTGATGGTATTGAAGCGGATAGTGTTGTGTTTATGGTCTGGAAGAAATGAGGTACTAGCTTTACCATAGCAATAGCTCTCGTTCAATCCATTTATCCCTACTTATAGAAAGGAATTTTCCTAGTTCTTTAAAAAAAAAAAAAAGGAAAAGAGCAAAAAGAACTAGTCACTGACAGACCAAATTTATTAATCCCCAACAGATCTCAAATTAAATAATTTTTCACTGGGTCTGCAAGATACAGTGATAGTTTGGAGGGAGTATCTTCCATCTCTCCTTCCTCCTGCTGGAAGATCTTCCTTTAGACCCATTTAGGGGGTTTCTTAAAAAGTAATGAAAGTACTTTCTACTGTTGGCCTAATTTCTGAAGAAACAAATATCTTCTATTTCCAATTTTTTAGAATCGCAGTTCAAACCATTGACTGAGGAAACACTTATGACTGTACCACGGAGTATCAGAAGTACTGTTAAACTAGCAGACTTGAACAATTTGTACAGGGAGTTGTTTAACCACTTCATTGTAAATAAGAACAGGTAAGACTTAAAGCCATTCATTGGTAAGAATTTTATAAGCTATAAAGAAATTAAGCCTTTTCAAATGAAACAAAACCAGCTGGTTAACCATTCACTGCTGTATTACAGCTTCATAATTTGATTTTACTCCCCTACACTCTTCTTGGTTAGGTGCATACCCCAAAGTGTTAGGCCATCATACAAGCCCCTCTAAATAAATTTTTATAAAAATGGCTTGTATGATTTGATAATTTTCAAAACTGAATGGCAGGTTCTTCAGAAACAGATTTTTTCACTTTGGTTTCACTGTAGAGATGTCCAAAACTGGGTCAGTTCAGGAAAGTTTTGCTGATGCAGTCATACCGCCAAACCCTTTTAGCTTTCGGAGTCTGCATCCAGACTGGAAAAGCAAAGCCCGAACGCTAAACCATGACGCCCGAACCCTGCCCTCCCCTCGCCAGCCCTTCCGGCCTCCCCGAGCCCTGACCCCTCTCTGGGACGCACGCTCCGGATGTCTTGCAGGCTGATATTAAAAATGAGGAAGTTTTTAACTGAGGGATTCTGTCTCTTTAACCCTAAGGTTGGATTAGCAAATGACTGTTCTCAGTTTGAAGTAGCACAGAAAAGTTCACCACAATCTGAATTACAGAGCACTTGCGAAAATTGTTCGTTAATCGCACTTTTTAGCCTTTTTCTGCCAGACCTGATGTTTGGTACCCTGTTTTGCTCAACAGTTTGCTTTTGTCTTACAGAGCAGCATTGAGTGTTTCGCAGATGAACAAGATGAATATGAAAGCCACTGACTCCAGAATACAAATCTTGAAAGAACTTGCTATTGTGGAACTTGACAAACAAGGAAATGTTAAATTAGTCGTGTAAATGAAAGCTCGGCCCATTCTCATTTGACACACAAGCATCTTGGTCATAGCTCCCGGATTATTAACAAGCAAGTATTTCTCTGGTGTCTAGGAGTTTTAGGGCCACTGTTGGAAAGCTAATGTTTCTGTATACAAATTCTATTTATAGTACTTAAAATTGGAGGGTTAAAAACCATTGAGGTTGGTATTTTATCTTGGATATTTATAGGACTGTAGTCAATGCGTTTTTGCCGAGATTGTTAGCCACGTGACACTTCCATATTCTTGCTTACATTCCTGAGTGGGTTTTTAAGACAAATAACCCAAGCCAATTAATTGTACTTACATTCCTGAATAAATGATGAAAGCTACGGAGACGAGGCCGAGGATTTATGACGCTTTTGTTTACATGACTCCTGACCCCGAGCCCTGCCCTAACCCCTGAACCTGGTCCCTGACCCTTTTCATTTGCCTTTGATGTGAACTGCCTTGGTTTTGGTTTTTTTTACAGTCCAGCAAAATTGCAGACTTGCAGAATAGCTGAGGTTGGGAGGGACCTCTGGAGACCGTCCAGTCCAACCCCCTGCTCAGGGCAGGGCCAGCTGCAGCAGGTTGCTCAGGGCAGTATCCTGAAGAACTCCAAGGATAAAGACTTCACAACCTCTCTGGGCAACCTGTCGCAGTGTTTGACCACCCTCACAGTAAAAAAAAAAAAAAGGGATTTTTTTTTTTTCCTTATGTTTTATGTTTATTTCAGGCTAATGTGAGAGAGTAAGATAAGTTCCTACAGTTTTTGTGAAAAATGATGGCTGTCAAAGGAGAGAGATTGAAATCGGTGTCCTTAGGAAGGGAAAGGCTGATTTCTGAACTGACACAATGAACTGGTTGGTCTGTTTAGAGTTTGTTGGGAAGAGGAACAGGGTGTGTATTGAAGAAGAAATGGGAGGAAAGGACAGGGATAGCTATTTTTATGCTGCCTGCTGCTGAGTGTGCCCTTTTATCTCCAAGGTTGCTCTCACCTCACAAACCGATTTAAGCATTTAGACTTAAATCATATTGATCCTATTTTCAATACAGGACTTGATCCTTACTCTCACTGCCTTCCACAGTGTTAAAGATTGAATTTATTAGTGAAATCTGGCTAAAAGTATTAAAGTTAGTGGGAAAACAACCGCATCCAAGATTGTGCTGAGCGTCATTTAAGCGCAACTGCAGCCTTGAGGCCAGGTACCTCGTCCGTTTCTAAAACCACGCCGAGATGTGGAAATCCATCCCTGCAGCTAGATTTTGCTTAGCGCTGCCTTGCCTGCCCTTACTCCTGAAATCTGCCATCAGCACCGGGCACCCCAGCGCAAAGCGGGGCTGAGCTGACCGCTCGGGATCCCTGCAGCTCGGTCTTGAAACCCGACAGCTGCAAATTCCTCTGAGAAACCCAACAGCGTCCCTCGCCTTGATGTGCGTTCAGGGCTGCCATGCTGCTGCTGCCGAAG